GTGCTGGCCTCCCAGGCTGGTTGCTGGAGGAGTGCTGGGGGAACGTGTACCCTCTTGGGGTTCTGGCCTGCTGTGTGTGCCCCAGCAGCCCTGGGAGAGTTTCCTGGGCACCGGCCTGGGTAGCACACACCCTGTCTCTGGCTGGCCTGGTGGCTTCGGCCACGGGCAAGACTGTGCCCGGTGCTGGTACCACCGCTTCCTTTGCCGAGCCTGGGAGCCGGGAACCAGCTGGCGTTGGATTGGTCGGCTGTGTTCCATCTGGCCTGAGGTTTCTGGGAGCCAGGCGCGCACCGGGAGCTCACGTGGGCAGTTTTATTGGGCCCCCCACATCCACCACGTGTCTTGGTGGTGGGCTGATCCCCAGTCACAGTAGAGGAGCTGTGGCCCAGACAGGAGGAGAGCTGCTTCCCAGAGAGGCCCCTCCCAGGCTCCATTCTGAAAATCCTGTGTTGGGTGCAGGGAGGGGCTGAGGTCCCCTGCAGGCCTGATCAGGATGTGAGCTCAGCCCCAGCCAGCAGACAGGCGTTCCCCTCCTCTGGGGATGCTGTGGGGGAGCTGGTGCAGGGATGGGGCTCCCCTGCTCCTGGGCCCAGCCCTCACTGCCGGGAGTGGATGGGAGCCAGAGGCTTCGGCACGGGAAGTCCACAGGAGGCCGTGCAGCTGGGACAAACCACGAGAGAGCAGGCTCCCAGGCCGGGAGGTTTGTCTTGGGTCTGAGTTGGTCCCTCCTGCCCTGGCCTGTTCGAGCTACAGGATGAATGTGGGGTCTCTGGGCTGCTTGGGCAGAGGTGCCCAGGGACAGGGCTCATTTGCAGTGCTGGCCTCCAGAAGGCTGACGTTTGTGCCCCACGCACATTTGGTGACCCTGGCCGTGTGTTCAGAGCCTGCAGGGGGTGGCCCAGCAGACCAGGAGAAACTTGTCCACCCGGATCACACCTGTCCTACCTGAGGCCACTCAGCTGTCCACCGGTAGCTACTTGGGGAAGGAAAGAGGAGGGGCTGTGGGTTCAGTCGCGTGGCAGTTCGAGGACAGCCCAGCCCTTGTAGAGGAGTGGAGCCCCGTTGCCACGGCTAGCCCATCCCAGGACAGGGGCCACCCCCGCCGCCTGCAGCAGGGTTCACCTGAGGTCCCGCCAAGCGCAGGTGTTTCTTGCCCCCCCCACCGTAAGAGAGGGGTAGCTGGCGTTAAGATGCCACAGATGTCCAGGGGTGCCTGGGGGGCTTATTTGGTCGAGTGTCCAACTCTTGGTTTCGGCTCAGGTCATCTCATGGGTCATGAGATGGAGCCCTGTGTCGGGCTCTATGCTCAGTGGGGCCTCTGCTTGAGAGTCTCCCTCTGTCCCTCCCCCCTTCCATGTGCGTGCATGCATGCACTCATGCGCTCTCTTTCTCAAATAGATAAATCTTAAGAAAGAAGGAAGGAAGGAAGAAAAGAAAGGAGGGAAGGAAGGAAGGAAGGAAGGAAGGGTCTCCAGACATGCTGCCCTCGCCCTGGGGACTGTGCTCCCCAAATCCGCCATCCTGCAGACTGGACACCCCTCCCGGGGCCCTGCCAGCCTTTGGTCCTGAGGGTATGTGTGGACCCACCCTGTGTCACCCCAAGGCAAAGGCCTGGTCTGGGGAAGCTGGGACGCTTGGTGAATGGTCACTGTCCCTGCACCTCCAGCCCCATTCTGCACACTAGGGAGGGTGGTGTTCCTCCTCTGTTCAGATCATGGGCGAGGAGACCCATCAGCTCTGGAAGCAGGCTGCTGTGGGTAGCGTGTCTGGCTTCAGGTTCAGGCAGGATGTGGGAGACACTTGGCAGCATGAAAGTCGCTGAGAATATTGTATTCCGTGTGTGCAAGTTGCCTGTCGTGGAGCTTAACCTGAGTTTCTAACCCACTGATACGTATCTGATGACAGAACTTGAGCATGGATGTGCAGGCCTTGCCCGCTAAGGCATCTGGGCCGTGGGGAGCCAGCAGGGGTTTGGGGCAGGGGGAGACATGTGCACAGTACCTGGGCGGGGGCGGGGGTTCTCCAGCCCCGTGGGACTCCCCTGGCTCGGGCCTTCCCTCTGCCTGCTTGGCCCTTGGAGAACACGGCTGCCCACGGCAGCCAACCCTGTGGGCCCCACCGGCCCAGGTCACCTGTGCCTGCCCTGGCATTTCTCACTCTCGAGGGTCCTGTGGCTGCAGGCCTGGCCAAGTTGACAGCCTGAGGGACGGTCCCCAGCAGACCCCCTGCCATGGCCCCGGAACCTAGTAGGTATTTGAAAAAATCCACTAATGTGAAGTAGAAAACACATTTGTTACTTGGAAATCTCTAAATTGTCCGCAAGGCATCCGTCCAGCCTTCATTCACAGCCACGTGTCAAGTTTTCACGGTTTTTGTTGCACGTTACTGACCTGGTCCTTCTTTCCGCACGGGGTCGCCTGGGTCTAGGGGAGGGTGTCAGACACGCGGATTTGAAAGCCAGGCTCTGGCTCCGAGCTCTGTCTGCCTGGGTGTGAGTTCTTGAGCACTTGCTTGGGCCGTGTCTTTGCTCGGCCACTGGCTGGGGGGTCTTGGGGTCCTTGTCTGCTGTGTGTTGCTGCCCCTCGGAGGGGGGTGGTGGGAGGAGGGCTGTGCTCTGCCACTCGAGGCGACCCCCCTGCCTGACAGGGGAGGCGGGTCCGTGTCGTGGAGCCTGGCCCACCAGGTGGGGTGTTGCAGGGGAGGCGCCCACTCCTTCGCCCGTGCACCGGGGGCCTCTCTGGCCCCGCACGCCCCCCAAGCAGGCCCTGCTCCCCAGGCTTCCCTGTGCGGCTCCCCGCCTTCCCTGCCCCCGTGAGCCTCTCTGGGAGTGCCCCTTCTCGGTTCGGGGCACAGCTTCACGCGTCTTTTCTTCCCGGTTTTCATTTCTGTGGCTCTGCTGCCTCGTGCGTGCCTCCCTCTGGGGACACCCCAGCGCTGTCCTCGCCCGCGGCCTGCCCACACCTGGCTGTGCTGTGTGTCGTGCGTTCTGGCGTTCACTCGTTGGACGGCACTCGTGGAGCACCTTCGAGGAGTCCGCGCGGCGGCGGAGCCTGGGGGCGCGGTGGGTGGTGGTCTGCACGGAGTCGGCGCCCGCTCTCAGGGAGGCCGTGGCCACGGTGGACACAGTGCCATGCTGTGAGCGCTGCTGTGTCACATCTGGGGAAGATACAGGCTGTTCCGGCGGGTGGCAGCCCACAGCGTCCCCGGAGTCTGACGGGCAGGTGTGGGGGCCTTGTGCTCAGTGGACGAGATCACAGCGGCTGTGGGGCGGACAGAGTGGGGGAGCGGGGCGAGCCGTGGCGGTGGCCTTCACTGGCCCCGTGGTGCTGGGAGTGGAGGGGACGGTGGGCTGCACGTACCCTGGAGGTAGGTTCCGGGCCCTTGGCGTCGGGGATGCTGCTGCTGTCCGCGTCCCGGGTCGGCCTCTCTGCCAAGCTTCCCTGTGTGGGCTTCAGGGTCACCGTGTGCGTGCTCCCCACACCCCTGCGGTGCTGTTTCATCCCCAGCCCCCCACTCCTGCCCCATTTCAGACACATCCTCAGGCTGCGGGTGTGGGGCTGGAGGGAGGAGGCTGTGAGGTCTGAGTTCGCCTGCAGGGGGGCCGGGGCAAGGGGCGCCGCTCCCTCCAACACTGGGGACAGTGGCCATGGTTATGGGCCAGAGAGGAGGAAGAAGCCTTCCACAGAGCGCCCTCCTGACCCCAGACTCTAAGTACAGGATCCTGGGGCCTGGTCCCTGCTCACTGGCTATGTGGCCTGGGGCCACATGCTGCCTGTCTCTGAGCCTCAGCTACCTTATCAAGCATAGCGTCCAGCCCAGAGGGCTGCTGGGACCCATGTGCCTGGCTGACAGCGCTCCCTCAGGCCTCCCGCCTTCTGGAGTTTCTCTCCCTGCTCCTGGTGGGGGTGCCCTAGGGACCCGTGAAGTCACTGAGCCCATGGCTCACACCAGGCTCCCGGAGGCTTTTGGGGGTAGGTCACTGTGCAGAGCATCCACTCAGTGAACTGTGCAAAGCATCCACCCAGTGAACATCCCTGAGCCTTCCGGACTCAGGACCAGGCTGTTGGGGTCCCGGGGTGGGGTCACAGCCCACCCGCCTTGGCTGTGCCCTCCTGGGCATAGGGTTAGGATGGGAGGGTGGCTGCAGGGCTGGGAAATTGGTGCTGGGGGTACCCAGTCCAGCCTGGGTTGGCATACTCGCTGTGACGGGGCCGGCAGGCAGTTTGGGACTGTCGGGCCCTCGGGGGCCGCCTGCCAAGCCTCACAGACCTGCCCTTCCCTGCCCACAGCCCCCACCTCTCCAGCTGGCTGCTTCTTCCCCCACACACTAGTGCGGGGACGGGAGGATGGGGCTCATTGGCACCCCACACCATGGGTGGGCAGCCTCCTGGGCCCAGTGGGGTGGAGTGTGGGGAGAGGGTCTGGGAGCAAGGGTCTCCTTAGAGAGGGAGGAAGGGGCCAGCCCCTCCCAGCCACTCCCAGCCCTGAACCCTCCCTCCATCCCTCCTCTCTGGGCTCTGCCGGCCTGCACGGGCACTGCCCCTCCGAGGGGCTGACCAGCCTGGTGGTTGGCACCCTTGGGCCGTGAGCAGGAGGGGCGGGGTCCTCAGCAGTGGGCTCTCCCCCGCTGCCCCTCCCTCCCCACCTCCTCGAGAAAATGGGAGGGGGGGGGGCTTCAGGCTCTAGTGGCGGTGCCTGTGTGTGACCCAGGACAGAGCAGAGCTGGGACCAGTGACCTGACGGCAGGGTTGGTGTGCCGGCCTGGGAGACGACCACCCCCCCACCCAGGGTTCGGCGCTCAGCTCTCAAGTTGCAGTCCGGGCTTTCGTGGGAGGAGGGCTTTCCTGTCTGTGGTGAGGGTCTGGGTCCTGTCCAGCCCAAGGCTTTGCCTCCTGGGGGACATGGGAGAGGGTTCCCAAGGATGTTGTGTCCTGGTGGGGGGCTGGGGCTGCCCCTGGGCCGCCGCCCCTCCTTACACGCCTTCTCTCCTCTCTCCATAGCCCAGTGCAGCACTGGCCTCTGTTTTAACGGCGGCCACTGCGTGCCTGGCTCAGCCCAGCTATGCTACTGTCCCCGAGGCTTCCAGGGTCCCCGATGTCAGTACGGTGAGTGGATGGACAGGCATTCGCCCACCCCTCAGCCTGCTCCCTGCGGCTCGTCTGAGGTTGTTGGGGCGGGGTGGGGGTGTGGTCTGGAGACTCCCTCCACTGAGGCCTCTGCCCCCCAACATCTTAGAACCCACCCTGTCCAGTCGCGGCCTCCAGAGAAATGGGCGGGGACGGGCCGGGTTGCTGGGTGGCTGGGAAGCGGCCTGTCCCGGGGTCTCCAAGCAGCATTCCTGCCTTGCTGGAGCCCCTTGTGTCCCTCATGTGGAAAGATGGGGGGCGTGCAGGGTCCTACTGGAGGCGATTGGTTCGGTGAAACTTGGCACATCTGTAAACTGATAGATCATGAAAACCGAGCTACGCTACACGCCCTTGAACAACAGAAACTCAACTGAGTGAATTTTCGAGAGCTCATTGGCTTTATTAACTGATGCCTGAATCAGGTAGAATGCCATCTAGCAGAAAGGAAAGGTTTCTCAAGGGAAGAGAAAGAGCAGGAGAAAGGAAATTATCAGCCAGGCAAGGCGGCCCTCCTCAGGGGGACGTTTCCTAGAGCCGACGGGGGAGTTCCCGTGCTGGCTGCTGACCGGGGCTGCTCCTGGGCTGGGGGCTTGGTTTGCTGACGTGGGGCCTTAACCTAAGTCCTGCCGTGTTGGGGGCCTGTGGTTTTCTTTCCCGCAGTGTGCTGTCGGGACAGTGTTAGCTGGGTGCTGGGCGGCGGGTCAGGCTTAGAGTGGGCGTGGTGGCGGTGGAGTTTTTGTAAAGAAAAGTGCACACAAGCACAAGAAAAATCGTCAGAAGAACCCCGCCCCCCCCCCCGCCCAAGACGTTCTTCCTAAGTTCTTTGTGACGGGAAGGTGTGAGCATTCCTGAGGGGTTTCTTGTTTTGTCCAGAGTTTTCTTCGTGGAACAGGGAGCTCTCAGGGTCCTGTTGGAACGGGCGCAGAGCCACGGCCGCCCAGTGAAATGAAATACTCCCAGACGGTTTCCGGTGCTTTGAACTTGCTCCTAGCGAGCAGCTGGGGGCTTCTTCCAGGTGGATGCCAGGACGGACGTCCTGCGCCATGCCTCAGTGCCTCAGAGCCCAGCAGGCAACAGGGAAGGGGGCGGGCATCAGTAAATTGTGGGGAACAGGAGGCCCCTGTGTGTTCACATGTGGTGGCCCCCCCTGCCTCTGGCAGAGACAGAGGGCAGGGGTCCTGGGGAGGGGCTGGGTCCCCGAGTTCTGAGACAGGTGCTAGCAGCTGGGGTGCTGATGATTGGAGAAGCTGGTCAAGCGGCTCTGGTTGCGTACTCAATGCCCTCTGTTAGCCAGAAAGTTCTCGATCCTGCTGCTTCACGGGCTGTGTGGGCTGGGAGGACTGATGCCTGGGCCATGGAGTGAGGCCTGCTGATGAGAGCCCTCTGGGTACTGGGGGTGTCCTGTCCCATGCCCTGGTGCCTCAGCCAGACCTCCTGAATTTAGGACCCTGAACCCCTCAGTGGGCTGGCCAGACGTGACCCCCCTCCCCCCAGGCAGGCTGGGGTCCAGGCTGCGTCTAGGCCCGGATGGAGGGGGCCAGTTGTCACACGTCGGCTCTTCTTGGTCTGGTCGGTGTTACGGCCCCGGTGGAAGTGGGGAAATGCTTTGAGGACCTTCTGACTCATTCAGCCAACCTTAATGAACTGCGTGCTGCTTGGGGTGAGTTTCATTCAGGTCCTGGAGGCAAGCTCCCTTTGGGGATGTTGCGGGACAGGGCTGTGGCTGACAGTCGGCAGCATAGATGCTGCTGTGGTCCCTGCTGCTGGGGGAGGGCTGTGAGGAGGTGACCCTGGAGTGTGGCCTGTCTTTGGTCACGTCCTCCAGGAAGCAGCTGGGGACGCCTGCCCTACCCCAGCTCCCCTGCCCCTGCCTCCTGTCAGCCATCGGCTGCCTCTCTGCTCCTGGCCTGCCTCTGTCCGAGGGCCCAGCTCTGAGCCTCCTGGGCTGGTGCTCCCTCTGGCATGAGCAGCCTCCCCCACCCCGAGACCCTGACGCTTGGCCTCCTGGGTATCGGAGGGCTCGAGGGCTGCAGGGGCACAGTAGGGAGGGAGCTCAGCATGGGGGGAGCTCAGCATCCAGCGAGTGGCCCTGTGTCCATGGAAGGGGGCCTGTCTGGCCCAGTTCTAGGGTCCCAGGGCCACCCCTGTGGGGTCTCTGGGTGGGGTGGGAGCAGTGTGCACATGCTCTGCTCTCTACCTTCATGGGCCTGGGCTCCAGACTTGGCTTTGCCTCCAGATCAGCTCCTGCTCTCCACAGTGGTAGTGGGGGTGGCCTCTTGGGGCCTGGAGGCTGGCCTGCACCACCTCGGTGTACCCTGTGTTCGCTGTGCGGAAGAGGAACCCAGGGTCAGGGAGGTCAGCAGCTGCTTACCACTCAGCAGAGCTGGGGCTGGAAGTGTGTGCTGTCCCACTGAGCGCTTTGAACCTTCCACCATCTCCCAGTGCAGTGCCAGACCTCAGTGGGGCCCCATCAAGACCTGTTTTGGAGAGAGAGGGGCAGATCCCCTGGTCCCCACCTTGCCCTGACTCTGCACCTGGGGACCTGGGCTTGTGACCAGCCTGGCCCTCTGGGATAGGTGGGCTTTCTGCTGCAGATGTGGCCTTCAGGAGGCAGTAATCAAGCTGCAGGAAGGCTGCTGGGCTTCCTCCTGAGGCACTGTCTCCTAGAAGAAAGGCTGGCTGTGCAGGGTGGGGTGTGCGGGCTGGAAGCGCACGACTGGGCGTGCGGGCTAGACAGGGTTGGGTGTGCAGGGTTGGGTGTGCAGGGCTGGGTGTGCAGGGCTGGGTGTGCAGGGCAGGTATGAAGGGCTGGGGGTGCGGGCTGGGGGTGCAGGGTGGGTGTGCAGGGCTGGGTGTGTAGGGCTGGGTGTGCAGGGCAGGTATGAAGGGCTGGGTGTGCAGGGCCACGTGTGCTGGGCTGTGTGTGCAGGGCTGGGTGTGCAGGGGGTGGGTGTCCCCAGCTGCTTGCAGGGGCGCCCCTGCCTATGCTCCCGCCCACACCCCCGACAGCACCACCTTCCAGTCTCTCCCATCTGGGTCTGCATGAGGCGGACCTGAGCTTCAGCACAGTTGGGAATATTTAACTAACCCCCAATTATAATTGATTCCAGTTTTGAAAATAAAAGCCATATTTTTTCTGGTTCCCCCAAATTCTTTCACTTGAATCAAAGAGTAGGGGGGAGGGAGGCATCCCGCTGGGTTGATTGTGGAGTGCAGAGGGGGAGGGGGCCCCCAGGAAGGGCCCCGGGCACCCACAGCAGAGCCCCCCTCGGCGTGGCCACGGCCAGCTTCCATGTCCTGTAGCTGTGACCCTGGGCAGCGTCCCGGAGCCCCATCACTCCGTTTGTTAGGTGGGCAGGGAGAGGGGTTTTGTGCGGGTCCCAGGTGTCAGCGCAGGTGAGGCTCAGCACCCTGGTGGAAGAAGGGTGGGGGGTTGGCAGCGCCGTCTCTCCCCAGAGGCCCGGTCTGCTGGGCATGCGGGCATAAGGGTGGATGGCCCCACCGGGGCCTGTCCTGACAGCTGGGGACTGTCCCTGGCTCTTGGGGTAACTGCCCGCACAGCATGCCTGAGCTTCCTTGGGGCACAGCTCACACGTGGCCCCTCCCTCCGGTGGCCTGGGGTGGGGACACCCCCAGGACGAATGGTCCCCTGCCCTGTGGGTCGGCACCATCAGTCAGTAGAGGAGGGCCGTGTACCGCGGGAACCCCTTGTCCCTGGTTGGGCTCCAGGGGTCCTGTCCATCCACCAGGAATGGTTTGCACCCGCAGAAAATACAGAAAATCACAGTGTGTGTGCTCCTGAGTGAGCGTGGGCAGATGCCCCCACCCCCAGTACCTGCTGGGGATGCACGTACTTCCTGGCTGCAGGCATGGGGTCTTTAAGGAAAAAAACAGGCAGGAGACACAGCCCCTTAGGAGCGTGCCACCTCTCAGTATAGCTGGCCTTTACGCTGTGCATCATGACGGAGCCCCAGTCATGTCCTGGGACTTGACCTCACCTGACCTTGCGGGACAGAAGCAGACGGAGAACGCAGGCCTGGGTTATCTCTGGGTACCTTCTCGGTCCAAGAAGCTTTGGCTTTGGTTTCCCTCTGGGCCTCAGTTTCCTCAGCTGTAAAATGGGTGTGTTGGGAAGGTCTCTGAGGCAGTTTTGGGACCTGGACTCTCGAGTCCAGCTGGGCAGAGAGCTGGATGGCCTGAGGGCTTCCTGGAGGAGGTGGGCCTGCGGGCTGGGGAAGGTTTGGGGAGTGCAGGCGGTTCAGGGTGGGCTTTCCGGATGAAAGAGAGGCTAGAGCAGAGCAGTAGAGAGGAGAGAGTGAGTCAGCTTGGCCTGGAAGGCCTGGGTGGGGACTGCAGCAGGGTCAGCCTAGAACCCCCAGGGCCTCGGCCCCCCTCTCTGAGTTGGTGGAAGACCTGAAGCCTGGACGGCTGCCATGGGGCTGGCTAGCCTGGCGGGTGCCCCGGGGGACCCAGTGTGACCTACCCAGCAGGGACAGACGTCGGCGGTCCTGCCTGGAGCCTCGGCGCCCGGATGGGTCCTGCTCTGAGCAGGAAGCCGGTGGGTGGGGGCCCCTGGGAAGCAGAGCAGTAGAAGCAGGCTGTGGCCCTGAGGGCGAGGGGGGAGGAGGCAGGCCCTGCCATCCGAGCCCCTGGCCCCGGCCCAAGGGTGGCTCTGTTTCTAAACTGGGGTGATGGATCAGTGGGGAGGAGGCAGGCCCTCCCAGGCCCCCTTCAGGGCTGCCCGCTGTGCCTGAGGGTGGGAGTCTGACCCCTGGCCCGAGGTCCAGACACCACCAGAGGCCGCTCCTGGCCAGCCGCTGTGACCAGGCCTGGGAGCGGCTGCGGCTGTTCTGGGAGCCTGGGCCCCATCGAGGGGTGGGTGGGGGCGGGAACATAGCCAGCGCCGGCCACCCCTGAGGGGCTGGGGGCACAGCCCGCCGAGGCCAGGTTCCAGCCGCGCTGGGGTCGTGCCGCCGAAG